AGGGAGAGGGAGAGGCAATGCCTTCAGTGGTGTACCCACTGGTAACCCCACCAGGTTCCAGTGGACAGTTCCAATCCAATGCTCACACAGATGAACCTCGTTAAAGCAAATGGATCACGAAACAAAAGCAGAAGTCATGAATGTGAGAAAGAGACAGGGAGGAGGGGGATAGGGATGGGAAGGAGGTAAGAGTGGGTGGAGAGAATAATCAGAAGGCATTATATACATATATGAAATTGTCAAAGAACTTAATTTTTAAAAAAGACAAAATGATTTATCTTGCAAATTCTCCACATTCCCTTTAAGCCATAAACATCAAAGATAGGTAAGATTTGCTAACAAAGATTTCACTTTAGAGTTGAAAGGATTAAGTCACAGTTGTTAATGTGGCAAACTTTTTTTTTTTTTTTTGAGACAGGGTCTTACCGGAGCCCCAGTTGACCTGGAACTCACTATGTAGACCAGGATGGCCTCAGTCTTGAAGAGATCCACTTGCCTTTGCCTTCCGAAAGCTGGGATTAAAGGTGTGTGCCACCATACCTGGTTAGTGCTGTATTTTTGATTTGTCTATTTTGAATTTTAGATATCTTTCCCTCTAACATAGAAGACCAGCTCTTCTATATATTACTCAATTTTCCCCCAAATTGACTGTTCTGCAGGTGATCCTTTGTAACTTATATTGCTTACAATTTAGCAATTCATCAGGGTAATCTGAATTATACTGACTTTATTTTTAATCACTTGAGAAATTTCTGAGCAACACAAGATCTGACAATGAGACCTATATAAAACAATTTATTGCCACAGGTTTTACTCAAATTTTAAAGTGATTTAATTCTTTGGTCTTCTGCAAACCCTTTAGTAAGTTCTAGCTTTAGGGCTACTACCCTTACATAAGAGACAGGCATCTTGTCAAGCTTTCTTTGCTTTCTATAGGATGACGATGAGGCAGGCACAGCAGCAGATGCCAATCAAGTCTCCACTATTGCTTCTCTCCAGCCTTTTGAGTTTTCCCAGAGACAGTCACCATAAGCTACCAACATTCTATGACCTAAGTTCGACTAAAACCCAGAATCAAGTGATAGCAAAGTAATAAGAACTGATTAAGATGAGACAGGAAAGCTAACAGCAAAGGAAGGGATCCACTGGCAAGGCACATCCACTGTCACCCATTTGGCACCATCTACAGCCATATCACTGGACTCCTGGACAAGACTATACTTTTCAAGATGATTCCAAGTGCCTGGTTTTCTAATTAAACCAGCATATTATGAGGTCAAAGTAGCAGGCTTGATCTTTGTAAGAGATCAATAGGAACCAGTTTCATGGTCAAAAACGTGTCTTTTAAGCCCAAGGTGTTCTAATACTAAATTCACTTATTCTAAATTCACTTATTCACTTATACTAAAGTGGTTCATGAGAGAAGACATGAACCAATAATGCAAACCCATTATCAGTACTGGAAATTACCTGGGAAACTTGACTCAGCCTATCGAACAAGTTTTACTTAAAAATGCTCTGATGAGCTAGGCCTCAAGGTCAAACAGACATAAAAAACCTGGTTCTGTTACTTTATGAGTTCTGCATATGACCTTGAACAAGTTAATGTCCACAGCCTTAGAGAAAATATATTAAGAGTCTCAAGGAACTGAGTTTGGCATATAGGGGCTAGCACAAGTTAACCTAGCCCTAGCTTCTTCTGGAAAGAAACCTGGTAGACAACAGTACAGGGATGGAGGCAGGACCACCTGTGTGTCTGTCCCAGATTTGCAGCACACCAACTATGAAAAAAGGAGTGACAGCCCCATTATTAGCATGGAGTTGGGAGAATGATCTGAAGCATTTAGGCAGGACTAAACCACAGCAAATGTCAACAAATGGCAGTTCTCTCTAACCCACAACAGGATGAGGAGATGCATTATGGTCATTACTATCTATTGGCCAATGTCTTTCAAAGTACAGTCAAGAGGGTATCAAAAGGACCTGAGATGTCTGTTGGCCAGAAAAGGAAAAACTATGTCCCACCTATTCAAAAAAGCTCTCTAATAATAGTAGCAAGCAATGTTCTTTTCTGAATCAAAGTTCACAATGCATGGGAAAATTTAAAAGTAATTTGTTCTGTAGACCCTGTCCTGTGACAAAGTAAATGGCTTCTCTTCCAACACTTATTCTCTGTTATGCCAAGAGAACCACCCAGTAACTGGTGGGGTTTCTTTGCACTCTCCTGGATACAGATACTACCTCAATAGGTCTGTGCCTTTTAGGTCAATTCCTCTATGTTCTTTCCATCCAATGCTACTATGTAGTCCTTTTAAAAATATTTTTATTTTTTTATGTGTATAATGTATTGTCTGCATGTTTGTAAGTGCACCCATGTTGTGCATGCAATGCCCACAGAGGTCAGAAGAGAGCATCTGATTCCCCTGGAACTGGAGTTACAGATGGTTGTTATCTGCCATGTGGGTGCAGGCAATTGAACCTGGGTCCTCTGCAAGAGCAGCCAGTGCTCTTAACAGCTGAGTCATCTCTCCAGCCTCCTATGTTGCCCTTTTTGATCCCCCTTTGTACAGGGTTGGGTAAATTATGGTCTTGAACAAATTTAACCTCCAGTGAGGGTATTCAGTTAGAGGGCTCTTTTTAAAAATGTGATCCAGGGGCCAGGCATGGTGGCACATGCCTTTAGTCTCAGCACTTGGGAGGCAAAGGCAGGCAGATCTCTGTGAGTTCGAATCCATCCTTGTCTACATAATGAGTTCCAGGTCAGCTGGAGCTACAAGGAGACCTTGTCTCAAAAAAAAAAAAAAAAAAAAAAAAAGTGATCCAGATGAAATAATGACCACAAAATCTAAAATATTTACTATCTGGCCCTTCACAAAAAAGTTTGCCAATCACTTTATTGCCTGCAATTGTTTTTAAACTGATTTTCAACACAATTAACTTCTAAGAGAGCAAGAAAGTTGGTTTGAAAATATCAAAAACCACTGTCCCCGGTAGAAGAACTATTAATTGCCGAAGTTTTGGTTATGCATATGCACATATGTCTGCTGGATAGTTATCAAACTGTATTTGGGTGCAGTCAAAAAGTTTTAAAATTCTTGGGGGTATGGGGTAGGGAATAAACAGTGTAACTAAGTATTTATTACAACAAAATTTTTAATTTTTACAGTAAGGCTGCCTTGAAGAATACAAAGCTTCACAAAATACCCCTACTGCTTGCTTACAAAGCCCTTTGTTGCAAAATAAAAATTTTTATTTCTTCTGTACAGGACATGCATTGTGGCAAGGAGAAAGTGAAATCCATGCAAAGCTCTTCAAAAGCATTATGCAAATAGAATGTTTTAGCTGTATTAATACTACAAAGAACATATTGGTTCTTTAACAAGTCCTTGGTTCCTTGTTTCCTCCAATCTAGGACACAAGTCCTTTTTTCCTTTGTGTATGTGCATGCCTGCATGTGCATCCCTGTGTCTGCATGTCATGTAATCCCCATGTCAACATGTCTGTATGTGCATGTGTGTGTGTACAGCATGTGTGTGCTGTAGGTAAATGCCACTGTCTTTTCTATACCGTCTATTATTGGCTTTTCCACCTCATCTGTGTTTTCTATTGCTCCTTTCTAGTAGGAAAAGCATTTCATTGATTTTTTTTGGTGAGAAAGAACAAAACTATGATTATCCTAGAAAGCACCAAAAAATCCTAAATTAAAATTTAAATAACATCCTTCCATATTACCTTCATAGAGCATTAACTTCCTGGGCTTCTGGTATTATTTTAGAGAAGCCAAAAATACATTAATTTTATAACCCATTCAACATGTAATTCTGCAAAGAATTGGAAGATCTTCCTAGGGAAGGGACACAGGAAATAAAATGACACTTAAATGCTTTCATTATATGAAACAGATTGTGAACACACAAACCACCAGCAGCATAAATAAATAAAAGCCTGTGCAACTGCTGCATGCGGACTTGCCTTACACCACAAAGGCAAACACTTGCACATTTGCACACCGTGGCATTTTAGTATGGGATGCTGGAAAAAAAAGGGGGGGGTGGCCACATTGTATAAATACAAGAGACTGTAAACATGCGTGTGTATCTGGTGTGTTAGGGAAAGACGCTTGTAAGCAGAAGGGGTGGGACTTGCCAAAAGCAGCTATTTGAGAAAATTCCTTTTTCTCCCCCATTCATTCTTTCTCGCTTCAGTGTCTGGCACAGACCTTACAAATACTCACTGGCTTTTCATTCTAAAGACAACCGACATGCTTTTAGAACTTCCTACGGCGTATTTCCCCCTACATACTTAAAAAAAAAAAAATCACGAAATTATTCAATATATGCTTTATATTTTTTTTAAGGAAAGAAAATCATTGGCCCATTTCCCCATTCCAAAAACCCCTTAGGTTGCAGGCTAGATATGGTCCTTTGTTATGCGTTCCATAATATCACCACCTCATGGTACCGGTAAATTGGAAAACAGTTAATTATCCCTTTTCCAAGAATGTCACAGCTATTATCATTGATTTTGTCGACCCCAGGGAGTCCGATTTCACACTCCTCTGAGTCTACCGTCCTAACAGCAGTAAAGCCAATCAAACTCAACACTTTGCCTTTTCTCTCAGAACACTCCATTAATAAATTTAAGGGTTGCAAAGAGGACGCCCAGCGGGCCGGTTTCCTTCACGCACAAAGGTACTCTCGGAGCCTGAAATAGCTCCAACCACAAGAAAGTTGTCCTTCCAGCAAGATGCCCACCCCAAAGTGGCCCAGGAAGAGAGGGGCAGAGGGGCGGCGGGAGCGCAAGCCCTCCGCTCTCCACCTCCGGAGCAGGGGAGGACAGTGAAGGCATGACAGGAGAGCGGAGTAGGGAGGTGGGCGAGTGGGAGCGACAGAAATGGATGCTGAGCGGGTGGGCGGGATGGGAGGGTGGGGGAGCGCCGGGAAGCTGGGGAGCGCGGCGTGGGGTTCAAGAGCCAGGCGGGCGCGGCGGCGGGTTCTCACCGTTGAACGCCCCGGAGTCCCCGGCCTCCTCCTCCTCCTCCTCGCCGTTCTCGGAGTCGGAGCGCATGGGCTCCTCCGCGAAGTTGACCCCCTTGCTGGGGGTGCCGCCCCCGGCCGCGACGCCCGCGTCCCCCAAGGTCCTGCCTTCATGGCCGAAGCGCGTAGCGCCCTTGCGCTCGTTCTCCTGCTGCAGCCGCGTGAAGTGCTGCAGCGCGAACTCCAGCAGGTCGGCGGGCTGGTGCCTCAGCACCTCCACCGTGAAGCCCTGCAGCAGCTCCGTGAGCCCGGGCGGAATTTCGATGCTCATCCTGCCTCAGCGCCGGGGCGCCACCCTCGCCCCCTGTCCGCGGTCGGGCCTGAGGCTCCGCGGCCCCCGAGCGAGCGCGCACGGCGCTACCGGCTGCGAGCGCGGCGCTCTGGGCCCG